GAATTTGGAAGTTATTGAGTTATTTTTATTTTCTGCGCTCAGGCTGACGTAAGTAACCGGAAGTGAAATTTCACCTCCTTAGCAACGTGCCCGAGCACGCACATAAATCGGTTAATGGGCCCTTAAACGAGTGAAGTCTTGGAAGAGAGGAAGAACTAAGACAGAACCATTTAGCTGATTATTTATTTTCGTCAGCTAATGGAGGCTTCACTGTGGCCCAAGCTTGTTGTCTATTGTTCTAAACTAGGTAAAGTAAGTGGCATAACAGCCTGGAATACCTTGACAACATTTTCTACCTTAATTACATACGTTGTAAGTATGCAATGCAAGCATTATTACGCTATCACCTTGAAATAAAGGATTACAAGTGTTTTGTGAAGTCTTATTTTGTCATCACTAACTAAAGTCTTGTCTTAGTCCTGTGCAACTGAATTCTCTTAGTCTCTTTTAAAGCACCTCGGCAATGTTCAGTTCCAGAAAACATCCATACTCACCCCACAGAAGGGACTGGAATTTCCTGGGGTGTGGGGGGTTCTGTAAGACCTAAAAATTTAAAGAAATGTATGAAGTTCAATCGGAATTTCCAGAGGGGTGGGGGGGACTTAGAAAAATTCCCTTCTGTGGGGGAGGTATGGATATTTTCTGGAACTACACAATAGGAAAATAAGTACAACAACAGTTACTCTTTACAATCTGTACTTATCGGTCTTTGGGATCCTCTCACAATATGTCCAGTTAGCCCCACTGTGTGAAGCTTGAAATATTCCAGTGAGTTAATACCCTCTACCAAAAGTCCCCTGTGCACATGGGAGCCTACCTCAAGAGACTGTCACCCAGTGAGTTAAGCTGAACTGACATTTCTCGCATCAAACCCTGGCTATACAGTATGATTTCTACCTGTGACCATTGTCAACATACACAGGGGAAACTCTAATTCATGTCAAATGAGCATCTGTTTGGCACCCAGAGTCAGTCCCGGTAAACTCATGTTTTTACCCTGGGGAGGGAGGGGGAACTCCCATGATAAAAATGGATGGGGTGCTGGTCATACCTTGAAGGGATTAAAAAACGCGGTTTTGGTACCTCTAAGGGTGTTCAGCCTCGAAANGGGTGCTGGTCATACCTTAAAGGGGTTAAAAAACGCGGTTTTGGTACCTCTAAGGGTGTTCAGCCTCGAAAGGTTTTTAACTCAGTACCCAAAAAGGTATAGAGTCAGGAGTATGGCAGGAGATTGTGTGTTGTTCTAGAACTTGTACCTCTTAGGGGTGAAAAAACATTTCAAGCCACACCCACAAAACAAGATCTAGGTACCTTAGAGGTTCTTTTCAAAATTTCTGACAAGCACCCCTGTCCCTGTGGTATGGTGGTCTTCTCGGGGGAGGCATTACTTCATTTCTCGTCTGAAATGTGTATCACCAGAGCTATACAAGCAGTGTTTGTCATGGCCCATTCTAGTAACAGTTGGGTAGTTTACGTTGTAATATCATGGGTGACAACATACACCTTAATTTTGGCACAAAGTTTCAGTGTTAATTTATTTTCACATGTGAAATTACAAAATTGGCCACGGCAACATTGGGCACAAAATTTCTCAATACAGTAAACAAATCTAAAAACCCACTATTGGAAGTGTAATTTTGTCACCCATGACATTAAAAGGTTTAGCCCAAACCCTGACCTGGGGAACTGAAGAGAGATTAAAAGATAATCAAATGATATACTTGTAAAACTAAGAAATAATTTCACTTGCATTTTGTCAAAATTCTTACAATATTTCCCTCGTGTACAGGCCTGGGGCCAGTGTTTCTCGAAAGACCCGGAAACTTTTCGGGCCCGAAAAGCCATTTTTAGTTAATCGGTATTTAAAGACAGAGAGGTCTATACACCTGAAACTTCTTTTAAGGAATGAAACCTCTGTTTACATTAGGACTACGTGAATAAAACAGCTCTGCAATCATATGGTTTGAGATTTTGCTACAGCTTCCTGGGTGTGAAAACTTTTTTTGGGACCTTTGAGAAACGGGCCCCTGGTGTATACAGTTGTCGCATTTGTTTTTCTAATTCCTGTTTGGTTTGTAATTGTATTTTTATTTTAGCACTCAAAAACAAAAAATACATGGTATATGACTGTTTCCATAGAAATGGTCCGCGTGGCAAAATCCTGACCAAGAAAGTACCAAACAGAACGCTGGTATTTACCTCAAGACTACCTTGCCATATAATAACATTGGATATCCAACATTACATGACTTGTCATCAATCATTTAAAGTTTGGTAGACCTTAAGACTAGAAGTACAACACAGTTGGTAATGTTTTGTTAAGTTCTGAAAATATTTTCAACTTAATTATGGATGAAACTTCAAACTAGAAACTTGGTAAAAAAAAAGGAAATCCAAAAACACAAGCCTGCCAATGATGGCATTTTATTAAAGAACAATTGCAACCAAGGAACTGTTGCTTCAATAATTTCATAGATTAATAAATTAGTATTGTTAATATTTGGGTCAGGTGGCAGCTCTTGTAAGGTCTCACATGAATGGCTTGATACCCTTTGAAAAGACAATAAAACAAACTATTTAAAAAATGCCCCTAGCCCCAAACAAGAATTACAAGCTTACAAGAGCTGCTACACTTCTGTAATATTTTAGCTTACAACATTAATGGTTCACGACATACAAAGCCAAGCAGTAGTGCTGGCACAAACTGATCTCAGATCCAATTATACACAGAGGGCAGTAATTTATATATAATATGTAATATATTTATGACCAGTCTTAATATTTTTAGGAGTATTACAGGCTTGAACATTAACTGCAGTTTCCCACATCTCGAGGTTCCAGTGACTACATTGTTTTAGTTTCCTGATACAACATGAACAAGATTAAGGCATATTCTTAAAATCACTAACAAACACTAAATCAAGAATTGAAACATCCAGAAATTCCTTTACTTTGTCTATAGGCAGGTACATTGTACTAGCTTCCAAATCTACCCATATCCTTCTTTCCCAGCTTTCACAACTGGTAAAATTCAAGCTGCAGCTGAGTATGTTACCCAACTCCTGCTTAATAAATCTAACTCCCTGGCTAGTAAGAAACGTCTTTCCACATGTGCCACTCTGATAAAATTCTCCTCTTGATGTGTGTTTTTAACTACCCTATCCAGTGCTGGAAATAATTTTTATTACATAGCAGGACATGTGTCCCTTCAAATCTCTATGTTGGCCAGACATATCACAAATCTGGCCGAACGTCAATAAAACTATTCGCTTTTTATGTAATTTGCATACACAAATATGATAACTCAATCCATTACTAGCCACGCATGAAATAATAAGCATGCTTAGCAAATTATGCATTCTGGGGTGATTTGGATGTGTTGATGAGAAATTGCAAATTGCAATGGATCAAGTGATGTGTGCCACACTACATCATCAGAAGTTGTCCATAAACTTCCCAGATAGGGTGTTTTGCTTGAGATCTGCTCCTAAACTGAACACTGCAGATGTTAACACACTCTCAAGAGTTTGTTTATGTTTTTTGTCTTGTTCATGTAAGACATCACAAAATGTGAACATTTTGCAACTACTTACATAAGGTAAATTCAAAGTTTCATGTCAACTGCCATTGTGGATGCGAAATGTTACATTATGCTCTGTTCTTTCTCATATCACTTGATGAAACAACTTTGCAGCTGTAAAAATCAATGAAGCTGTTGGAAAAAGAATTTGAAAGGACTCGAAGATAAGGTATGTGGTTCATAATGAATAACATCGATTCACATTCCATCGAGTGAGAATAAAACTGACATTTCAGATCACAATGTAACTAAAAGTCCTTACTCTTGATGTAAAAAGCAACCAAGCCATATGTAACCATGCAAAATAATGCTTTACAACTGCCTCTTTAACAAGCACTAGATGAGGTAGGACTTTAGCAAATAGTCAATCTACTTTACTCAGAAAAGGCCACCATCACAACTGATGGGACAGCAAAGCGATGGCCATGGCTGTATTAAAGATTGCCAGTTAGTTGAGTAATTTTACCCTGTATGTGATAAGATCAGCAATCAACATCATATTCAGAACTTAGACCAATACAACCTTTTTTTTTCATCTCAATTTAATTTTCCCTTAAAACATTAACACTACAGCTAATGCACATGATAGCAGAGTAAAAAAAAGTGGTCACCTGAGTCACAGGAATTGTCTTGATGTGTGTCAAAATTCTCCCAACTAACATTATAACAATATGCAGAGGCCAGTTAGAAGAATTCGTACAACAGTCACTCAGTAGGATGGTATCTAGGTGCAATAGAAGTCTTTTTGATTCATGGTTGTCAATCAGGCAGAAAACAAAAACTCTCCAACAGAATTCTCAAAAATTCTGAAATTCTACAACTTTCAACTGACTGTTGCGCATTAGGCAAGTGAGAATAAAAAGTTACTAACCTGACAACAAAATCTACTTCTCCTGGATGACTAGACAGCCCTGTTTTGAGCCTTGAATAAGTTGGCCATTATCAACAACACTTATCAAAACTTGTAACCACTGTAAAATAGAATTCCCCAATTCCGTTGATGATGACCTTAGGTTTCTACTAACTAGACAATTCCCTTACTTTTTCCTGACCTTGGAAAAAAAATTGCAACTGTTGCAACCAAGAATTCATCAATAAATAATAATATATTATACAGTATGTTATAATATCTATGGAGACCAGGGAAAAGAATTTGTACAAACTGGAGAAGATATGTGTGACCACTGTTTGGAAACTTTACCCATGCTCTATCCAACCTGTTGTCTTTTCCCAAGTTCAACATTGTGAAAGAAATCATACTCTTGGAATGGAAGCAAATCTAGGGAATTAAACTAAGAGCTTGGGGCAGCCATTTTTCTCAGACATTAATAACTTTAGACTTCAGTTTTCATTTTCTTCCTGGTCAGGAAAATCTTTCAGAAAATTTCCATTCGTTTTCTAGTCCAAATCAAACCCCAAATCAAGATCTTCATAAATATCCATCCCTTAACTTTCTCAGCATTTCATTTGTAGGAAGTTGCTGTTAATCTTTCTTTGGTTGGCTCTCTCTTCCTTCATCACTGGTAGTGACATCATTAGTGGCAGATGGTTGAGTTTTAATACCGCCTGTAAAAAAGCAGGATCAAGAAAAGATCAATAAAATTGTAAAAAAAAAAAAAAAATTACAGGGTGTACACATTGGAATCAATCATAATGGAGGCATTGTGGACTCATGGTTAGCCTCCACCTTCAGATGGAACGGTACGGGTTCGAGCTCTGGCCAGGGACATTGTGTTGTGTTCTTGCACAAGACACTTTACTCTCACAGTGTCTCTCTTCACCCAGGTGTATAAATGGGTTACAGGGAACTTAATGCTGGGGTAACCCTGAGATGGACTAGCATTCCATCCACGGGGGAGCAAAAATACTCCTTGTCTCCTCATGCTGCTGAAACTTGAGATACATGTATGCGCTGGCCTGATGGCTCGTACGCAGACTTTACCTTTTTTTACCAAATAAATCAATCCAAAGTTTACCTTGCAAAGAAGCTTGGCTTTCCTCAAAGGATTTAAGTTTGTTAGTGTGATCCAAGCCCAACTGAAGCAATGGTTTCAAGGCGTTACTTGCAGCTTCCTCACGTGAAGCTTCCACAGTTGCTCCTGACCCATAACATGTGAGAGGCGGAATGGACGACACTGTTACCAGTGTGAGAAACTCTCTCTCCTACAATGTACACAACAGCATTCAAAAAATTCAATATTATTGAACTGAGCAAATTTTTTAATATTCCTGCTGGGCTGCTAGTAAAAAGAGACTGTTTGAAGGGCATTCCACTTGTCAAAATGTCATGAAGAGAGGAGTATAAATTTGCATTTTGAGCTTAAAAGGGATAAAATGTGGAACATACTATTTATAGCAGAATACACTAGAAACACCCTGTAAGGAATCTATAACTCAATAGAAACACAGAACTTGCTCAAGCTGTTGATGCAATGATGGCACAAGAAAGGAAAATTTCTATTTTGATGATCAAAGTAAACAAGTTGCTTTCTTTTTCGTATCACATTGTTTTCTAAAAGAAATCAAAAACATGTTCCCTGTGTTTCTATCAAGTTAAAGAAACACTCGTAAAAGATTGGGAGAACTCACAATAGCTGTGGAATCTCTCACCTGTCGACTTGTGTTCCCACAACAATTCTCATTCTCCCAAACTTCCACCTGTGTTTCTATAACTTGACAGAAACATGAAACACGTTTTCTGTTCCTTAATGAAAACCAGAATTTTTGTTTCAGATTTACAGCTGACAGGTTCTAACCTTGGGGTAATCAGTAAATTGCACTCGTAATCCCTCAACCTCAGCCAGCTGCAGAAGCTTTTGAACTGGAGTTGGATGTTTCCCAGGAGTTGTCTTGACCACTGGGGCACCAGGGGCTCGGTTTAACCCACCTTGTAGAGCTGGCTCCTAAGGAATCAGAAAAAAAACAACATCAAGTTGCAAGTAATATAATTATCCAACAGAAAAGACTGTGTTTGACCACATTTCCAAACACTGAGAAGAGAGTTGAAAATGTGATGTGTAGTTGAGCATCTTCGACAAACTTTGAGGTACTTGGAAACGCAGTCAAACACAGTCTTGAGTTTTTGATATAACTTCTCAATCAAAACTTAAGCTAAGGAGAAAATGAAGAAATAATTAAAAATAGTAAAACTCTATGCTAATTAAGATCAGATATCCAAACACTGTCATGCAATGACTTCCTTCTTCAAAACTCAAATCATTTAATTAATGACTTTGAGAAGTTTATTTATTACATGACTAAGCTAGTTATGAGGGCTGATGACTAAAATCAACCAATCAGACTGCTCCATTGCCAGTCCAATATTCTTTAACTATTAAGCCGGGCACTGTCCCTAATGATCCTGCAAGGTCACTCTTGAAGACTCAGGTAGTGTCAGTCACGTAATAAATCCCTTATTAACCAAGTACAAGGGACATACTGGGAGAATATTGGACCTCGGTCTTTTTTGTATGGATCCCGGGCCGATATTCACCCAGTATGGCCCTTGCACTTGGTTAATACGATATATGCGTAGACCTCACTGTGTATGATTCATGCTGGAGAAAAAGCTGTGTGACAACCACTGCACAGCTTATGTTCCTATGTAACATTTCTCATTCTCCCAGACATGCACAGAAACACAGAAATATTTCATTTTCTCAACTATAAACGGCCACTTTGAATAGTTGTTCATACCTGAGGTTCCTGCTTCACTAGTGCAATGGGAGCAACCACGGAGTTCATCATGTCTGATCGAGTCTGTTTGGCCAGTTCAGGAACCATCGGCAGCAGACCAGGCTTGAGCTGCCGGCCAAGAATGGTGGCTGGCTGACTGCCTGTTCCACTTCCATTAAAAGAGACCTTCTGTTCAGCATCACTCTTCTCAGTTTTGACAGCTTTCTCTCCCTACAAGAAGATACATGTTATAAAAGATATTTATCAAGTTATGTCCCCAAGGTACTTGAAAATGCCAAGTAGCTCAGAAAAAGACACTTGGGAGGCACAGTGGCCTCATGGTTAGTGCGCTCGCCTCCAGAATGAGCAGTTTGGGTTCAAGCCCTGGCTGGGAACATTGCGTTGTGTTCTTGGGCAAGACACTTCACTCTCACAGCGCCTCTCTCCACCCAGGTGTATAAATAGGTACCAGTGAACTTAATGCTGGGGGTAACACTGCAATGGACTAGCATCCCATCCAGGGGGGAGTAGAAATACTCCTAGTCGTTTCATGCTACAGAAACCGGGATAAGCTCCAGCCTGATGGGCCACTTGGCTTGTATATAGACTTAACCTTTACCTTAGAAAAAGACAAGAAGAAACATGACGGAAGTACATTTCTAATAAGGCTGAGTCACTCTGTGAGCGGGCAAGATGAACCGAATCCTGCACTGTGATTGTCTACCCAAATGGGCAAGACGATGCTATCTCAAGATAGTGCCATCTTGCCCCCTTGGGTAACAAGAAAATAGTTTTCTTTTTCTATATGATAAATCCTTTATTGACCAAGCTTGTTCAGTCAATATTGCTGGATATTGGCCTTATTTTCTTTTTGAATATTTATACCAGACCTTGACTCCATCTCCGTCCATAAACACACAAAAAAGAAAACTTGGCCAATATCCAGCCATCTCGACCTCATGCTTGGTCAATAACCCATATGTACTAAGCTGGAACAGTAAGTTTAACCTGCGAGATATTTGCAGCTGGCTGTCCGTCAGCAGAGCGAAATCCAATCAGCTGTAACATAGCTTCAGCAGCTTTCTTCTTGGCCTCCTTCTTGTTCGGACCAGCTCCCGTAGCCTTGTGCTGCCCGACAGTCACCTCTATGGTGAATTCTCTGTCATGTGCCATAGCCTTCTCATGAAGCATTTGGTAGATGGGTGGTTGCTCATGTCTGCGCTGTAGAATCTGCCCAAGAATACTTACTGGATTCAGGGAGGGATTTATCTCTCCCTTTGTTTTCCAGTTCGAGATACGAGGCCCGCGACGAACAAACCGGCCACTGTTCTTGTAGCTGGTCTCCTCTTTGGGTAACTCAGGTAGTTTCTGTAGCTCTTCAAGCATTTTCTTTGCCGCTTCTAGCTTGGCGTCTTTCTTCTTAGAACCTTCGCCCACGGTCATAAACTCACCCACTGTGACACTTATCACAAAACGCTTCATGTGAGGGGGACCACTGCTCTTCACATCTTCAAATCCAACTTGCAGCTTCCGTTTGGAGGCTATCTCATACACTTGACTGATCTCAGATTTTACCTCAGTGACACTTTCATTGGGTGTAATGTCTGGTTTGTTACCATTAACAGTGGCTTCAGCGTTCTGAACAAACACTTTCTGTTCCTCCAGATTGCTAGAACTCTCCTTTTGTCCAGAAGCAGCCAGCTCCTCACGCATGATCTTGATTGCTTTTTCTGCCGCATTTTGCCGCGCTTTTTGCTTGTCAGGGCCCTCGCCATAGAACTCCCTATCTCCTACCATTAGCTTCACACAGGCGATCCTGGGTATGCGAGGAAGTGCAGAACGGGGCCGGTAGCCATTTTGGATGTAAGGGCGAAAATGATTCTCCTGCCCTGGATGGGGGATGCCATAAGGGGAGCGTGGACGGGGCATGTGGTGGTGCATTCCCGTAAGCTGTTGTTGCATCTGAAGACCATGGTAGCCCATATTGACATGTGGTTGGTGGTACGATGGGATCTTAGGCTGCAGGTCTTGATACTGTGTCAGCTTGCCTAGCTTCATTGCCAGCACGTTTAATTCTACAGTTGGAGTCACGTTGAATTGTTGAATTTTAGGCTTTTCTTTTTCTGGCATACAAAGCCCACAGTTCTCCAAACCCGCGGTGGCTGCAGCATGCCTGGCACTTCTAATGCTTGTTGCTTTGCCTTGCCATGTGCCTACTTCACCCAGGGTTAGTTGAACAGTGAAGGTTCGCTTGTGAGCTGGTCCGCTCTCTTCGATGACTTTGTATTCAGGATTCATCTTGTTCGCTTTCGCAAGTTCGTTCATCAGGCTGACTGGCGTTTTCTGAGCCATCGCGACGATCTCAGAACTTGAAGAAGCGAAATATCGAAAGAAGATGGTTTAAAAAGACGGATAGAAGTGGCGATCGAGTGTAGAATGGTGTCGAATCGGACGAATAATAAATAAGTTAAGTTGAAAATGGCCGTCGACTCCACAGAAGATTCGATGTGTTGTTCGAAATTACCGCCAACTTCCGCAGGGAAATTGACGGTAATAACAAAAGAAGGTGAAAAGGAACTGAAAGATTATGAAGTCGACAAGAATCAGTGAGGAGACCCCACACTTTTGAAGAAATTTGTTTTCTTTCAAAAGTGGACTAAATCGCCAGACATGAGGTCTGCTCGCCTTTGCGTCACTCGGCTGAAAACGATATCCCAGCAGGCTTTGCAGTGCAATGCAACGAGTCTCGACATGGTGAGGGAGGGGAGAGTAAGTGCCATCCTCATGTAACATGACTTTTTTTGCCGTTTAATTTGTGACGCTTTTTGTCCATTTTATTGTATAAGCAAAAATGTCAGTGGCGTCAGAGTACTCTGGTCATAGTTTATAACCCAAAATACTTCTCATGTACTGGAAAATGGTTTTATTGTTTTACAAAAATCATACAACTTCAGACAGTATGTAAAAACAACAATTTTCTAACTATACTAGTTTGATTTTTATTTCCTTGTTTTGGAAAATATAAATGACAGCCCCTCCTCTGAACAAAAAAAGAATAAAAAATGGTGATGGATGTACTTGGACCAAACTTGTGTCATTCAAGACAGTGGCTTAGGAAAAATTGCCTGAGAACTTGTCACACACCATGCAAAAAGTACCTTGACCTTTATAACAGTTATATACTTTCTGTTAGAATCTTCAAGTTGCATTTTAATTTGCAGGCAAGTTATTCTCAACAATGTAACTGATTACACTGTAATGACGTTATTAAAAGTAATACTAAATAATTTTTTGATAAAACTTAAAAATTTTATAAATGACTTCCTTAATGATACCTTGCAAGTAACAAGCCCTTTGCAGCTAAAAAAGTACATATTATGGGCTGTAACTTAAGAATGCCAAAAATGGAAAGAGCATATCAAAAATTCCAAAATGGCCAAGTGGGAGGCTCCTGGCATTAAAGAGTAAGTTTATACAACAGTTTGAATTTCTGAAAATTTTAAGGATATCTATGGAAAATGTTGCTGGAGAGCAAGGTCTTGGTCTTAGTTTTTTAAACTTCGAACCATCATAAAATCTCATTCTTTAATGCCAGGGTCCTCAAACTTGGCCATTTGGATATTTTCAAAATGCTTTTTCCATTTCTAGCATTCCTAAATTGCAGCCCATAATTTTATGAAAAGTAGGTCACTGTCTTAGAGATAGTTGAGAGAAAATGGAAAAATTCTTGACAAAAAATTGAATCAATTTTACCCATGCTTTGTCATGGAAGTGCACCTGTAAATGAATATGACAGATATCTTTCCCCTACAGAAAGAGAACCTTTAATAAAGAGTGAAATATTAGTATCTGGAGTGCACTGTCAACTTTTAAATAAATGACAGAATGTGTACAGGTTACACACGACGGACAGCCCAGCTGAAAACTATTTACACTGTCTGTAAGTCTTTACTCATATATGCATTTACATTGAATGAGAAAATTATTATACAACTGATGTTTACTAGTTTTACCAGAAATTAAGTGGGTCAGTGTCATGTGCCCGAGTTTTACTGTTCTCTTTTAGACCAATTTTTGACCCCTTTCTGTTGATTTTGCAAAATATTAAATGAGCCTCCTAAACAATGTAGTTGATAATCTGCAGGCAAATATGTCTTAGTATTAAGCTGCTGGTTGCAACTTTCATCATCATCGTCATCATCATTGCTTATTTGCCTTAAACATTACAGCAATTTCAACAGGGTAACGACGCCTCCAGAAAAGGGGCAGCCTCCTCAAAATTCAATATCTTTTTAATTACAAGCCATGGATGTGCAGCTAGGTCAACTCAGTATCACTTCATTAAAAATCTTTAAAAAATTTTACTCTACCTCTGATAATAAACTGAGCCTGCAGTTCCAACAGCAAAGTTTTGGATATGGTATGGCATCTTTATGTGCATATCACTGGCTCCCCCCAAGGGGTGGACCCCTAGATAGACTATAGATCATAAGGTATGATGGGGAATACAGGGGTAGTAAATTATTGATCAAGGTCCTGGAATTTCCCAATCCCAAGCTAAAATTATAGGGGATGCAGAATTTCTACAACAATATTTGGGGATTGAGAGGGAATATCTGCAAAAGAAAATGTAGCTAAAAATTGCTTTACCCTTTTCACAACTCTGTTGGTCTCCCCTGGGGTCAACCCCAGGTAGAAGCCTGTGATATGTGCATAATATTTCAACTTTAAAACTGAAAGTCTAAAAATACACCATGTGTGTCAAAAAACCATCATATAAAATACTTTGATTTGATTCTGACAAGTCAATTGTGTACTGACCAACCACATAAAGTTCAGGACATGTGAGCAAACCTCAAAACCACAAACAAAGTGATCGTAGCTGTTTGCGGTCTAGTTTGGCTTTTCCCTATCTGCACGATAAAATTCTTCAAACATTTATACTCTTACCGGTTTTCTGAGTTTTTCAGTAAGTATCAAACACTGCATGCAAAAATTGTCTTAAGTAAACTTTCTCCTCAAGAAATATTTGATTTAGATTTTTTGAAAGCCGACCATAAGTAAAACAATCAGAAGTGCAAAACATTAGCTATTCACACACTCAACTGCTACATGCTTCAGTCTGCTGTCACTATATTATGCAATAACTTAATCTTTTTATAATGTGTAGAGTATGCTAATTTATCAAACAGGGTTACAATAATTACATATAACTTGTTTACTTTCAGTAAATGTCTGATCACATCTCTGACACAATGTGAGTCTTACTTTTTGATTAAGTTGTATATCAAAAAGAAAAGGTCCAATATTTACAGCTTAGGCAGCATTATGCTGACATGACATCTTTTGTGGTATTTAAGATTAATATTGTTCACAACATTCTAGTCTGCATGAATCAGTCCTGAAAACTATGGACTTAAAGGAGCTTTACATCACAGGATTTTTAGCTATTTTTGCGATGACAAAATTACATCTAAATTGAAGGAAGCCTGAAAATAGAACTTTACTAAGAAAGAAAAAACACCACAGACATAGCAATAAACGATAAAGGAAACAGGATGGTTTAGGGGGGAGAAGATTAACATGGATTACAAATGGCAAACTTGAAAGATTTAGGCTAAACCTTTCAAGATGTGCAAAC